AACTTCAAATTTATTCAGATGTAAATTACACTCATTCAAATGTAACTTTTTGAAATGTAAACGGTTTTGATTCAAATGTAACTTGGGAACCAATCTGATGTAATTAGTGAATGTAACTTTAGCTTATTCAAACGTAAATTAGGAACAAATCTGATGTAATTTGTAAATGTAACTTTAGCTTATTCAAATGTAAATTGGGAACAAGGAGATGTAAGTATGTAACTTGTGAAATCAACATCCAGGAAAATGGAAAAATTCAGATTAATCTGAATTGGAATAATACGCAAACCTGCTAAATCAAATCAAAAGAATTTGCTTTCAATTTTAAAAGCGTTATGCATAAATCTTCTGGAACAATAGGCTTCATTCATTCATTAATAGAGAAAGAAGAAAGGAGGACAAAGTGGAGGAGGAGAAGGAGAAGAAAGGAGAAAACTTACCTGTACAGCCTTGGAGCTGCTGCAATGTGTTCGAAAAATAACAGTATTTCAAATGAATAAAATATCACTTATTTTGAGAAGAAATTTTGTCAGAATTTAAAAGGCCTTTTTTATCTCATATTATCTAATAGTAATATTATTTTATTACTCAATTTTATAAATTGAATGCTTTTATGGTATATTAAAATTATATTACTTAATAAATGTTCATTGTGTTCTATCAAATGATAACGGTAAGCATTAATCATCAATTATATCTATTTACTTTGGGAATTATTCAAAACGTTTAGTTTTGTTCTTGGACACTTAGCTCAAAGTAATAATGCTCAAACGTTCGAGTTTTTTTCCTAATTAATGCTGAAAAAACAATTATTTATCAAATTATGGTTCAGTTTAAAGTATATACGAAAATGCTGTTGGGTTAAACTAGAGTTAGCTTACCTTTATAATACGGAAAGGACAGGAGCCAAAGGAAATGACCGTCATGCGTAGGACGGTAGGATGCCACACGTAGGAGAGAGAAAGTGTGGATCATGTTAAAAATCTCCATTTTCTCTAAATTGCTATAACTTTTGTGTTTTCATTCCAAATTTTATAAAATCTATATCAAATTTCATAATTTTTTATTACCTTTCATATGACACCAATATCTCATATATAAAGTTTTACAAAATTTGAAGACATATAACTAAGGATTACAATTGTGACCGATCCGTTAGACACCCACACCGAACCGCTCCGATCAAAATAGAGAAAAGCGTATCGACCGAGTAACGGGTACGAGACGGCGAATAGCTGCGGTTATACCCGTTACCCGCTCCGATCATTTATACTCCGTATTAAATGATCAACGACTCATTTAATAAAGTAATTACTCATGGTTATATTCGTTACCCATTGGAGCGATTGTGATTTGAGTAAAAATTATCTGTTGGATAATGAGGCGGTTACGGTCTACGGGGTGGGCGAATTACCCAATAGGGCGGGGTACGATTATGAGCCCGTTCGGTAACACTAAAATTGGGTGAATTGGCTGATTCTGCTGAAATTTATGAAGTTATGACTGAAGTGGTTGTATTGGCTGATTCACGAAAAAAAATTTAAAATATTTTTTATTAATAAATTAAAAAAAAATATTAAATGGAAAATAGCTAAAATGATCCTCTACCGTCACTTCAGCCAATACAACCATAAAATTAACTTCAACCTTAGTTTTTCTGCTTATTACAAAATTCAAAGCACGAAATCAAAAGTTACGTGTTTGGTGAAAAAGCTGGTTGATAAGCCTGATAAGCCTAAAAAAAGAATCACCAAACGGGCTCGATATGTAAAATCGTCATTGATCCGCCCCATTGTCATCCCTACGTATAACATGAAAGCTAGACTCAACCGGTCAAAAAATTTAATTCTAAACAAATTTTTAGTTTATAAAAATCAAAAGACCCAATTAGAATAGTTTTCCAGACTCAGATATTTTCTTAAATAGAATGAACCGTGAAATTAAGATCTCATAATTATGTTTACATCTTTCATCTATTTTATTTCATTTGAAGTGATGAAAAGTAGTTATAACATTATATTTTGCAAACATTTACATCTTCCAAATATTCTTGCCATCTTTAAGGTATTTGTAACCACGTTACGTCACCATGATTCAAAACTATTCAAAGATGTAAATATTTTTTTAAAAATAACCTTTTATAAAATGCGAAAATAATCATTGTATCTTAATTTTAGCATTTTGATTTATTTATGAAAAATGTTGTGTCTGAAAAACTCTATCAACCATACATTGAGATTTTTGTAAAAAATATTGGTTTAGAATTAGATTGATTGAACGGGCTTTGTTACAATTTGTCCATTTATTTTTAGTTTTTCTTTTTGAAATTTTATATATGATATTGGTGTCATATGAAAGATCATAAAAAGTTATGAAAATTGATATATTTTTATAAACTTTGGAGCAAAAATATACTCCGTAAAATTTACATGTTAAAGAAAAGGAGAATTGTTTTTTGACTTGGCCCCACTAATCCATCTCTCCTGCGTAATTCCTACGTTCCACTTCCAATTCGTTCCACTCTCTTAACCATAGTTTAATTGGGGAGTACTTTCGTAAATATTTCTAACTCAACATTAATTTGGTAAATAATTCTTTTCTTAGCATTAATTGGGAAAAAAACTCCAAACGTTCATCTTCTAAAAACCTTATTTATAAATCTTAGTTAGTACCCTTATTTGTGTCAATACAATCTATGCATAAGAAGTTGTACATTCCTCTTAGAAATGGTTCATCTCTTTTAGTTTTCCTTAAATATCCTTGCCCCTGCCTTTTCCATTAACTTCGTTTGAAAACTTAGGGCCTGTTTACTAACAGAGATATTTTCCTGTTTTCTACTTCTGTTTTTCGTTCTCCAATTTTCTGTTTTTATTTTTCAGTTTTTCTATCTCCAATTTTCTGTTTCTATTTTTTAGTTTTCCATTTTCAAATTTGAAAACATGTTCATCATTTTTTTCACACACTTCTCCAATTCCACACCCTTGACCCCCACCTCTACCCTTACCACGATCTTACACTCTTCCCATACTCCACCACAACCCTTCATACCCACCCATACCTACTCGTAGGGGTCGGGGTAGGGAAGTTATGGGTGGGGTGGGGTAAGGGGTATGGTCGGGATGGGGTGGTAAGGTCTAGGGGTAGGGGGTTGGGTGGGGGTAGTGGGTGGGTTAGGGTCGTGGTTAGGGTTAAGGGTGGGGTAGTGGGTAGGGTTTGGGGTTGGGGTAAGGTAGGGGTAGGGTAGGGAGTTGGGATAGGATGGCGGTAGGGTGGGGTCGGGACCAGAGGTGGGGCGGGGGTAAAGAAGGGGTAGGGTGGGGGTAGTGGGTAGGGTTGGGGTAAGGTAGGGGTAGGGTAGGGAGTTGGGATAGGATGGTGGTAGGGTGGGCCCGGGATCCGGGTGGGGGTGGGGGTAGGATGGCGGTACGAGGGTGGGGGTAGGATGGCAGTGGGGTGGGGCCGAGGTAGGAGGCATGTGGTAAGGGGTAAGGTAGGGGTAAGTGGTAATATACGAGGGGTGGGGTTAGGGTGGGGTGGGTCGGGGTGGGGTCAAGGTGGTAGGGGGGTGGCGGTAGGGTAGGGTGGATCGAGGTGGGGTCGAGGTGGTAGGGGGGTGGCAGTAGGGTAGGGTGGATCGGTGTGGGGCCGAGGTCGGGGCATGTGGTGGGGGGTGGGGTAAGGTCATTATAGGGAAAAATGGGTATGCGGGGTGGGGGTTTGGTGGGTAGGGTAGGGTAGGGTAGGGGTAAGGGGTAAGGTACGAGGATGGAGGTACTGGAATGGAATCGACATCGGAGCGGGACCGGACCCACCACTAGGTGTAAGTATGCAAATTCATTGCAAAGGCACTGTAGCATCTGCGTTTTCCAAATTTGGAAAACTAGTAAAAGTCACTTCTCCAAATCATTAAGGAAAAGAGAGACATGTTTCATTTTTTCCGTTTTGGAAAACGATTTGGTAAACGCGTTTTTCTTTTTTCCTTTCTCCAGTTTTCCAGGAATTTCTTTGGTAAACACGTTTCCTGTTTTCTGTTTTCCAGTTTTCCAGTTTTCTGGAAAATTGGAAAATATTTCTGTTAGTAAACAGGCCCTTACTTTTTCCTTTATTGAAAAGTGAGACTAATGTCATAACGTGAACGTATAGATGCATATACAAACATGTTTCATATTTCAAGAGAAACGGCAAGGTTTACCTTATAACTATAAATATTATTGCCTATATGTGTAGACATTTCATATTCCATTCGTATAGGAGGAAGGTTTACTTTGTGCCTATAAATATAAATGCATATACATTTCATATTTAGAAGATTAAAGATATATTTTATCATAAATAAAAGGTACACTTAATCTAGTCATGTAGAATATATTTTTATATTACATTAAGTATCACATATTCCCCAAAAATATTAAGATGGATAAATTATTTAGCAAATCACAATATCCAAAGTTCCAAACGAACATTTCATAAAATACTTGAGTTGGTCACTAAGGATGTTTTTACTTGGAATATAATCCGTCCCAGACCATATCAGACCAAACCATACCAGATCAGACCATACCAGGATAGTTATAAAAAACAAAGAAACCAGACATTATCAGACCTGACCAAACCAAACCAGACCAGACCAACAAATTACAGTCCAAGTAAAAACATCCTTAAAATTACTGAAATAAAATTAAATTGTGACTTAAGTTACTATGAGTATGACTACATGATTACTATAATGAAACCTTGAACATACTTGCAATTACTAAAAAGCACTAGCATAGTCATTTCATGTAAGGATGTTTTTAGTTGGACGGTAATTTGATAGTCTGGTCTGATCTGATCTGAACTAGTCTGATTTTCTTTGTATTTTTATAACTATCAAAGTCTTGTCTGGTCTGATCTGATCTGGGACAAATTACAATCCAAGTAAAAACATCCTAAGTTAGAGTCAATATTTATCTATCATTTATACATCAGTTATTCATATAATAATGAATATTATATATTTACTACTACAGAAATTGAGAGTTTAGATCACATGCCACTGAGAGAGACGCAGGTGGAAGCAGAGAGACGCCGGGAGCGAATCAAATCCAAGAAATGGCGGACAAGGCTGTTACCATCAGGACAAGGAAGTTTATGACTAATCGTCTTCTCTCGAGGAAGCAATTTGTCATTGACGTTCTTCATCCTGGAAGGGCAAATGTCTCAAAGGCTGACTTGAAGGAGAAGTTGGCAAGAATGTATGAAGTAAAAGATCCCAACGCTATTTTTGTCTTCAAGTTCCGTACACACTTTGGAGGAGGGAAATCTACTGGATTTGGATTGATCTATGACTCAGTTGAAAATGCAAAGAAGTTTGAACCTAAATATAGACTCATCAGGAATGGATTGGATACCAAGGTAGAGAAGTCTAGGAAACAAATGAAAGAACGCAAAAACAGATCCAAAAAGATACGCGGTGTTAAGAAGACAAAGGGCGGAGATGCTGCTAAGGCAGGAAAGAAGAAGTAGTTTTCATGCATCTGAAGCCCTAATGTTTACCTCTATGTTTGAACTCTTCTGAGAGATGAATTTTGTTTTTTAATGATTTGATTTGTGGACAAATTGTAAGCTAATCTTGGTATTGTTTTATACGGAGTAGCATTTACCCTATATATATATATATATATATATATATATATATATATATATATATATATATATATATATACACTACATATCATGCATGTTAACACGAAAGGATGATAGTACAATAATATTGGGCATACGATTTCGCGCCTTGCGCTAGTAGAAGCTAGTATATTTAATATGCACGTTATGAACTTACAATCTTCAATCCAACTTGAGGTACACATTTTCATACACACACCTACACACTCGTATCTGTGAAGAGATTTTGTTTGTCTGTATACAGACATAACATATTTTCAAATACGTTATGTCTATATACAGACAAAAAAAATTCTTCACAGATACGAGTGTGTAGGTGTGTGTATGAAAAATGTGTACCAATAGAATTTTTGATGAACTTATCACCTGGGAAGTGGAAGCAACACCCGTACTAGTATATATTTGTGTGTTCGGCCAGGCTAGCCTTTTTGAGTTGATTTTTTAGATGAACATCCCCTAAAATATTATAACTCTATTGGATTAATTTTATTCTACTCTCGTTGTTCTGTTACCGGCTTACACCGAAAAGCTCGTTTTATCTTGGGGAAAGGTTTTTCGCTAGTCGGAAATACTTTCTTGAGGACAGCGTTAACACGACTCGAGCTATATTATTTTCTAACAATTTTTTGCAGGTTTATCCGGCGAATTTCTTCAACACAATGGAGTTTCTTTAACTGCTTCGATCGATGGAAGCTCTCATTTTTAGTCAATAAAACGACACCGTTTGGGATTGGCACACCATGCGCACAGTGGGCCAATCCCACGGTATCGTATATACTAGAACAAAATCTTATAACATTCAAAACAAGAATATTTTCTTTAACAGAAAGTAAAAACTAGAATAAAATCTTATAACATCTAAAAATAAAGTAGTATGTATAATATGGGGGACAAAAGAATTATAAAAGGCACTTGTTAAAAGTTTTTACTAGTTTTTCGTTTTTTTTACTCGATGGCCCTCTCCAATACCATTTTCTTTATGTAATTCATGATATTTAATGTGGGCTTAATTGTTTGAGTGCAATATATCAAATAAAATATTAAATATGCTTTACAAAAGTTTTTTTGGGCACGTCTTTCTAACCACGCTTTGCAAAAGTTGAAATAAGAAATGATCAAATTCTTTTTTTTTTATTGAAAGAGAATTATCAAATTCTTTTATGAATTAAAAATTACAACTCTAGTCAAGAGGTAAACAAAATCGCGTCGGAAATTGTGCACCAATATAGTCAAAACCCCGTTTAGGATATTTGCATTTTAGATTGATCGTCCATGACTCTTTTTTACCTCACGCGCTCAACAAAAACCATAATGCTAAATGCTAATTTCCCAATCTTACATTTCAATCACTCTTTCAAAGCTTAATGAACCCATACATGATACGGAGTAATAGTGGATACTAGTGTATGTTCCTGGAGGTAGGGAAAACGTGTCCTTCAAAAACTAAAATACGTACTACATGTAAAGTATATTTTCCTAATTCATAAACACCTCTTGATTTCGCATTTATAGGCAATGCAGGGGATGCAAAATGTTACGAGTACTATATTTTCTTCGGTAGTGAACTTCTTCATCCTCTGGGTACAAAAGGAACATTTTCACATAGTTGATCACTAAGCAATGGTAACAATAACGATGGCTTATAACATGTGCCGTGTGGAATGTATTATACTAATACTATACTAAAATAAACTTGAACAATTTGCTTTTATTTTAACGTACAGCTTCCATTTCAAAATGCAGTTATGCACGCACATATTTCCAATCCACTCTTTTATAGGTGAAGTCATTCCTACTTTATCACGTAAGCCCCTTTGAAATACTTTCTAGTTTCTACAGTCAAACATTCACTATTTCACCTTCACTTTATTTATTAGTTTTTTTGTGATGTCAGCAAAAGACTATAGGCAAAAGACATTATCTAATTTAATAGTGTGACACACTTTATCTACGCTAGAAAGACATGCTTTGAAGATGTTCTTAAAGACAATGAGAGATCACAAAAAAAAATCTTAAAATTCTTATAAATTTCTAAATAGATTATTTACACGTAAAGGTAATTTTTATCAAAACTGGGTGAGCCGGGGCACGAGTTGCCCCCCTCTCTTGAGTATGACATTGGACTCGCATTTCTTGTCTTTTTAAGCTCATGCAAACACTCCTTAAATCTGATCATTTACATGTTTTCCTAGTTGTAAAAGGTAGGATCGGGCTGGACAAACTCGGGTTTTCATTAGGATTTCAAAACTAACATGATACTATGATAGGTATCCGCTTATATTCATTTGAAATCAAAAGCAGGCTCAACAAATTTGGGCCGGCCTGAGTTTAAAGTTTACACACTTTCATTTGGTCTACAAATAGTGAGATCACTTATATGAAGTATGAATAACTACTGAACCTTTTGGTATGAATTATTACTAATCATTTTTATAAGCTCTTTTCACCCTTTACACTTTTAATACATTTAACATGTTTTCAAATTAGATTTTTTCAATTGCGCAATGGTTGTAAATTATTATAGATTTGAAAGGTTATAGAATATAGGGAATACTAATCGTAATGGGTTATTAAGCCCAGGGTAGAGTAAGTAACTAAGAGGTTAAGTGAGTAGTAAGCTCAGAGACAAAATGTGCACTCAATTTGACAGAATAATAATACAAATTTCAAAAACACAAGACACTTTTATACATGTTGGAAGGAGTATATATAACAAGTAGACAATTTAGAGTCTAAGCTAGCTCTAAGCTAGTTTAATACTACGTATGTAAATGTGCCCTTTGTTCAGGGGTGTTCAGGCGATAAGAATGACAGAGAAGATTAGCATGACCACTGCGTAAGGATGACACACACATATATATCGAAAAACGACAAGGATGTTCAGGCGAACAACCAAAATTTTGAAAATAAAATGTAAAAGTACATGTATAGACTTAATATAATATTTAATGTATTGTATTTTTATATAATACTTTTTTACCCTTAACTCTTTTTGCTAGTTTTTGTTGTTGAAAAAATTACATTTTTCAATTGTGGGATCAAACAATATTATTGTGCAATATTTTAACCATAACTTTTTTTGAACATCCAACATTTGGTTGCAAGATTAGCCACCGGATTTATGTTAGCATGCCCCTAAATCTCTTGAGATTAAAGCTTGGATGTTGTTGTAGTACTATTGACACTACAAAAAGTTATGGGATTGACACGGATTTGATACGAATTGGCCGATTATTTCGTGTTAAATAGCTCGTTCCAAAATGTTTTTTTGCATGCATTTAACATATCTCTGCCAAAATCTCAGTCAATTTTGAGGAATCCTTTTCAAAAATCTCTGTCAATCACGTGTGTTTTTTGTAGTGTGATTAATAAGAAAGTGATTACAATGTACTAAAACTACTCATTATAGAGCCTGTTTGGAGACATCTTTTTTCGGCTTATCAGGCTTATCAGCCAACTTTTTCACCAAACACGTAACTTTTACTTTCGCGCGCTGGATTGTGTAATAAGCAGAAAAAGTAAGGTTGGAGTTACTTTTCTGGTTATATTGGCTGAAGTTACTGTAGATGACCATTTTTGCTATTTTTACATATAATTTTTTCTTTATTTTATTAATAAAATATATTTTAAAATATTTTTTTCCTGAAACAGCAGAATCACCCAAAACAGCCAATACAGCCAAAACTTCATAAATTTCAGCAGACTCAGCCAAAACAACCGATTTTGGTGCTACCAAATGAGGTCATAATTGATTATAAAAAGTTCTTCATTCTAAAAATGATGTTAGTATTTATTTTTTTCATGAGATAATCAAATCTCTTCTTCAAATTCCGAAGCAGAGAATTTGGTACTCCGTATTATATATTCTTATTTATGTGTTCATTGTTTGGAAATGCTATTTTCTTCATATTATAAATAAATACTACCCGTGTTTCTTTTTTATTTAGCCAACTTTGACTTTTCAAGTCAAAGGTGATAAACTTCGATCCATTATTTTAACTAATATCTTTATGTGAAACTTAATAAATTTATACTTTTATGATAGTTTTTTTAACAAAGAACATTTTCAAATAATTTTCATGATATCAATATTACCGTGTATAAATATATAATCGGTCAAAGTTGAACAATTTTGACTTGAAAAACAGTGTTTGACTAAATAAAAAGGGACGGAAAGAGTACATGATATTTTCCATTGAGGGCGAGATAATTTAAGTACACACATATAAAATAATTACTATCTCCATCCAACAAAATTTGGTCAAATTGACTTTTTTGTCGATGATTGTAAATTTTTGGCTGTTCCAATAAATTTAGTTATTATATTGGTGTGATATTTATAACTTTATACTTTTATAAATGTAATTTTAACAAAGAAATGTTTCATGTAACTTTCATATTTTAAATAATTTTGTACGTATTAACAAATATCATGGGGTAAATTTGACCATCACTGATTAAGAAAATTGAAAATTGAAAAGCTTTATTGACCCGAGGGGATATATGTTTTGTAATTGTTTTGTTTATTCTTTTGTTTGTATAATTACTGGGGTGCTCTTTTGTCTGGGTCTTAAATTCAGTGAGAATAGCTTTGGGCCTTTGATATATAAAAATGTTGGCGCGTAGGTGCACTATTTTGTAGTGGGTTGTAATATTTCATAAGCTTCGTATTGTTATTTCACAAAGAATCACCATGCATTTCTTTTTATAATGCTCTACGAATCAAAGATATCTACCAATGTGATTAAGCAATACTGGATGTTTATCCACCTCTATAGAAGGTGTTCCACAAATCTTTAGAATCAAATTACACATGATTGGATCGAAGTTTAAAATG